GTGGTGTAGTAAAATATTTTCCATTTCGTCATCACTACTACTGCGGCTTAATAATTCCATGAGCAATAATTCCCGGTCCATTGCGTTTTCTATTCCCGTTAAGGGGTCATGCTCAGTCAGAAATTTTCAAAAAATCGATTTTTCACATTCTACATTTTCTTTACGTACAACATCACGAAAATATTCTGTGCTAGTTTCAAGGTAATCCAATTAAAAATGACAGATATACAGGCGTTACAAAATGAACATTTTATATAATTGTAAACTTGACTTTAAACTTTAAACTTTAAACGCGTTTTTCTCGAAACTACATTTTTCAAAACGGTGATCAATATTTCTCGAAAACTACTGTGTCGATTTACATGAAGACTCTTGGGCCTTATTTCAAACAAGAAAAACTTGTCCTTGAACTAAGAATTCTTTTGTCCGTTCCATACTTTTTTTTTAATTGACCAAAAACGAGTGATTTTTAGGTGAAAATCGCACTTTTTCAGGAAAACGTCCGCTATTTTGTTCCTAATCAATATTTCGAAAAACCCCACGTTCGAGGACAAGATTGGTTTTTCCATTACATAAATCTTACTGAATTTTTAATTTCAGATGAACCGTTACGAAGTTACAGTGATCACGGCAGACCACTTTTTGTGAAGAGACATCCGGGAGATCGCTCACCATTTATTTACTAATAAATATTTTTAAATAAAAAAATTACCTTAAACTCTATAAACTGCAATCTTTGAAACACAAACACATTTTTTGAAGAAGGTCTTATAGTTTTCGAGAAAAAATTCCTAAAGTATACTCTTTTGTCGGCCTCATGACTGAGCATGACTGCATCATATACACTCCCGTCCATAAGTCACTGGACACTTGATTGTTCTGTGAAAATTGGGAATCGAAACAGAAATCCAATTTCGTGACGCAATATCACTAATATATTCCAGTTAGAAGGAAATATTGATCTTGAACGTACCTCAAATGTTTTTCAGAATTACTTTACAAAATTGTAAAATAATAATCAGCTGTAAAATTTCAACTGTAGAAGTTCAACTAATGTAACACAACTCGTGGGAGCCATTATTAGGCCATACTTTGGATGAATATTCCTGAATGTAATGAATATATTAATTGAACAGATATGTAAGATTGTGCACAACGCTGAATACAATTTACATTTCCTTTATAATGTGAAACATTATGAAGAATTCGTTTATTTTATAATTGTAGTAACTTTTCAACTTTAATGCATTCTTATTCTAGTTCTAAGTCGGTAGACTTTGTTACGTCACAGCAGAACCTGTTGTGGAATATTTACTTGCATCTTATGTGATTCATTATGTCTGGTTTATGTCTTCTTAAAATTCAAATTTTGGTTTTGCTTTTGGCAGACGTTTATAGAAAATGAGGAGAATTAAGTCATATAGCGGATGCTATAGTAATTTTCGAAGAACATTTTCGACAGATAAACGGCCATTACTTTTGCATACACCTAAATATGTTATGTATAAACGAAATCTGTTATAAAACATGTTATATTAAACGTAAAATACATATATGTAGTATGAAAGTCAATACAAATGTTGGAATTAAGAAAATAACTCGTGATGAAATTGTTAATTGTTTAACATGGTGTAATCTTAACTACTATACACTTTTTTAACTTTTAAATAAATAAATTTACGTTAAAACGCAATTATTCGGTCGTCTGAAAAAATCGATTCTTCGGAGTTTTACTGTTGATGATTTTGTTAGATTGGAAACAATCATGATCACTGATAGCAAAAGTTTCTTCGTTAGATTTATTAAGTTCCTGAGATCACAAAATAGTTTCTCTTTTGCTGCGAAACTCGGTTACCTTCTTTTGTTCGGTAAACTTGCTCATAATATCTTTGATTTAAGTAGGCTAGCAGAGACGTGACCGTGATTCATGTTTTTTATACGCATTTTGGAACGTAGTTTTCCCTTATTAAAAGAGGAACACGATGAATTCGTTTCTTGTAACAGATCACGGGATATCATGTATTCAAGGTACCCTTGGTAACACTTCAAATTATGCTAATACTTCTTCAGAATTAAAGGACAATGATTTAGCAACTGGTCTCGATTAAAGAGAAATATACTAACATGATTCTAAGAGTATTAAAAATATATATGTATACACATTTTACAACAGTTATATACTTAAAAATAATCTTATGTATGTTGTACGGTTTTTTTGTAGCCTAATTCCAACACTACGGTAGGCTGAATAACTGATTGAAAAATTAATAACGAAATATAATCGATAAATAAAGTTTAGTTAGAAAAAAAGTTCTATACGTTGAATTTACAGATCGATCGTGAGAGTGAAATAAAAAAAAAAGCTCTAAAGATTTTAAGTAAAAGAGTAAACTGTTAGTTTCAATTATATTTAAAACAGAACAACATTAAAGATTATTAAGCTAGAGTATATTTAACATTAATATTCAGTGTATGCGTGGACTAAAGTGAAATTAATAGAGTTTTTAGAACGTCGATAAGCGGAGGACATTTTGTAGTCTCCCTGCGACGATAAGAAATTTATAAAACCCAAGAAAATTGTTTCGTTTCATGTAGCTTCTAAACCCATCATTTCAGACCCCGTTTCGCGGTAAAATGAAAATGTAAAACAAATCTTGAAGGACTTGTTTAAAAAATGAAATATGAAAGCCGGAAAAGTAATGTAGGAAATAGAATTTCATAGGTGCATACATGAATATCAATATTAACAAAATATTTCAATTGTAATATATTTACAGTGAAAATAAATGTTTGAATTAATAAAAAACAGTACGAGAAACGTGTACATTGGTAAAACACACTAAAAAATACTTCAGCTAATTCAACATCACGCTTAAAAGGGATCAATTGCGGAACGTGTAAATGTGTAATTATCACTTGTCCGCGGAATTATATTCACCGTGTAAAATTAAAAGGCCATATGTCAATGAATTCGTACCATTTCACGAAATACAGCGCTCCCGGCAGGCGTTTGCGATTGTACCATGTTTCTGTTCCGTGCAGCTGTCGATAACTTAATTAAAATCACAGCTGGGCAGAATAGTTGTCGATACTTGCTCACATTAACTGCTTACAACAATATTACCCGATTTAACGAAGGACAACGCGTTCTTTTATTTCGGCCGAAATTTAAATCACTGAATTCTTTTCGCATGGACATTAAACAATTTTGTGAAAGACTACCACTCACAAATACACGTGTATATTGTATGTACATAATATGTCCGTACAATATAGGGTGTCTCAAAATAATTATAGGCCCTTGAAAGGGATGATTCCTGGGGTGATTTGAAACAACTGTTTCCTTGGCGAAAAAGTTCCCCGAGGCTTTGTTAACAAGATATTAACGAAAACCCCCGACCAATCAGAACACGAGTCTGCCGGCTGAGCTCATGCGGTAAAGGTGGCTTCGTAACAGCGGGAATAGCTACGTCATAAGTAGAAACGGAATACAGTCAACAGACACGTTAGCCAAGTCCTATTTAATTGCATGTATATTGCATATCCAGCAGATTTTTAAAGTCGATTTCCTCGAAAATAAAATCTCAAATGAAAACATTTTATTGTACAATCACCCCCGAGTCGGTTGTACCACGAATTATATGACACCCTGTATACTTTCCAACGTCATATGAACACGTTCACTGTGACACTGAAAGTGGTGGTACGTTTCCAGACACACTTTACTTCGTTTTTTAAACCATAACTCGTTGAAAGTGTATGCGTTTATTTAATAAAGGCCATCAGTCTTGTTTGAAATTATATTGGGATTTTCATTTTATACAAAAATTTTGTAACGGTATTTAGATTACCCAGCATTTTTACAATGCACATGCCACCGATATTTGATGTAATCGTGCGAAACTTTATACTTTTAATCCCCAAGATTTCATTTTTGTTCATACCTCAACTAATTTAACACTTTGGCATAGTCGATAATTTGTAATTGATAATGATAATGAAATTCCAAAATGTGTTGTAAGGTTTTGTGAAAATGTAAAGTAAAAGTATGTTTAATAATAATGATGATTTTTCGATTTTATGAGAATTTTCTTCATATAATGGTATATTTTTGAGTGTATTATACAAATATAAACATTTATGTTTGCTTTCTATTAACATTCAAATATTTATCTTCACTTTAAATTACTCCCAAATAAAATTATTACATAGGGCACGTCAAAATTCCTGAGAGAGAGAGAGAGAGAGAGAGAGAGAGAGAGAGGGGGGGGGGAGAGATATGTGTAAAAACAAACGAAAATGTGTAACAACATTTCTTTGTGTCGAACCTCGTTTTCCACAGAAGCTACTTCAAACATTCATACGGTGCATTGCATGCATTTATACTTGCAATAAATCGAAACGGTAACTACTGAAAAGACACAACATTCACGTGCTGTTCAATTGCACGCGTATTCAACAGATTTTCTAAGTCGATTTTCAGGAAAATGAAGCTCCATTCAAAAAATTGCTGCACCGTATATTCGATTTGTTTTTCATTTGGCGTTGCGAATCATGTATTGATTATCGTAACTAAGTATTCTTCTCGAGGAAAATTTTGCGCTTAAAGATAGTAAGTAAATATATGTCATTCTAAAATGTATGTAGGAGAAAGAAAGTGTGATGAAGATAAATATGTATGTATAAACATGTAAAAATATTGTATTCCTTATTGCGTTAATAAATCGTGTTCTTAACGTCCAAGTCTGTTTCTTTTGTCCGTGCTGTTCAAACCTTTCTGCATTTATGATATATTTCATTCTAAATTGATATATTTATAAATGTTATATATTCAACATCAGATTTATATAACACACTGGGTGGTCCACATGAAACAAGCCATCTTAATATCTTTTGTTGTATTGATATTATAAACATGTATGTTAGCGAAAAATCAATGGTTACAAAGGGTAAACACGAGATAGCAGTGTTGTGCCCGGATATACATCAGCTTACCACACCGTGAGACCGTCTGCAGTCACTCAGCACGAGTAACGAATATCTAGTCAGCAACACGTGCCAACCTGTTAAGCAAAACCTATGTCTTGCCGGATGGCATCCCTACACCCCTACCAAACCCATAACAAGCGTTTTCTAACCTAAACAATTGGGTGTCACCTGTCACCTGTCACCATACCTCGAAGAAATCACGTGATCATTTTATTCGTCTCTGAGTCGACTTTTTTATTCGAATGAAAATTATTCGTTATTGTCGAATAATTAAGTTTTATTCGAATTTTTTATTTGAAGTTTATTCGAATAAAAATTTATTCGCACAAATTTATTCTACTATTAATTCGAATGAAAATTTAGTCGAATAATGCCCAACTCTGCCTACTACCTCATTTTAGACGAATGCGATTTTATAAAAACGACGCTCATCGCCCTGGAGGTAGAATGATATCGAACGACAAAGTGTAACTTAAGTTTGAATAAATCCTTCCTTTCGCTCGACTACCGGTGAATGCTAATTCTTCGAACGCTCCCGGACACAAGTATCCCAAATTATTTGTTGTAGCCCCACGGGCACAACAAATTTTGTTTGGCACAAGCAAAAATGTTTTTATCATCATAGTCTCCAATGTTATCAATATCAATACTTTTTATATGAATTTAAATATTTTTCTTGTTTCATCCAAAATTTATTTCTATAATTATCGAAATACAATTCGCCGTTCATAATAGATATTTGATCTTAGCGAAGAACTATTCAAATTATATCGACACCATAAGTTGCAATATTTTGAAAATTATAGAAACAAATATGTCTTTTTTATAAGTATTGTTAAATAGAGAAAAAATATATCTTTCCATTAAAGAAAAACCATTACTCATATTGATAACAGTTAACAAAATGATCTTAACAAAATGTTATGCTATGTGCTGTTTGCCCTTTGTTACCGTAGATTTTTCGATAATATACATTTTCAAAACTTCGGTACAACAGAAGATGTTAAGAAATTTAAAATAATATATTGTATATTAAACATATAATATTAAATATATGTATATATATTTTATTATTCCAATGAAACATATTAAAATTTGAAATTTTCTTTTTAATATCAGTTCGTTATGAAACTTTAAATAAAAAGATAGAGGTAGGAAGTATTTTAATTTTACATATTTAATTTGTCACGTTAGCGTAGCGAGAATATGTACGATATTCCCTTACCTTGTTACCGCGTTGGATGCCTGCTTTAGCTGCCGGTCCATCTGGCACGACCCACATCACGTATGCAAAAGTACGTCCATCAGCCCCCGTTTTACCTACCACACGTATACCGAAACCAGCCGCTGAAAAAAGAAGTTGAAAGTTTAATACACGAATTGCTAAAATATGCATCATTCAATTACGTCTCTAACAATTATAACCAAGCATTTAATTCGTGAATATTTGGAGATAAACTAATTAGAATGCATTCCGAAGTAATTTCTATTTCGTCTGTGATGGAAGGGAAGCTGTTAAAATCACTGCAATATACTTAATGGTCTTAAAATCGATCATTGGGTTCTTAATTAGTTAAATGCCTCGTACGAATTTCAACGTCGTCATATTATAATTAGTATCGAGTAATTATTCGTTTACATGGAAGCAAATTATTCAATAGCTTCGCGGAGTTTCAAACTTCATTATCGAAGTGAAAACTTCATCTGGTATATTACCGCGGGATAATAAATATTATGGAAAAAAGTTGTAACATCTCACAAAACGATAATGCGGCTGGCCTTTTGGTTTGTAAATTGGTATTTATAGTAACTGATAACCTAGTCACAAACTTTTAATTTCACAACATCAATGGACAAAGGGTAAATTAAAAATTTTTTTTTATAATGCAACGTGAGCAAACACTGAACATACACTACACATATGTATGTCAAATCGAATGTCAGGAAAAATCGTCATATATTATGTTTGAATGACATTGAATGTAAAGCAAATATCCACGGTGTCAAAAGTATGTTACATTAATGTTTAGAGTTGTCCTGACATGTATCTGGTTTACGTTACAGTGGAAACACTTCTCCTTGAGGATTTGACTACGGGTCCAATATTGCATTACAAAGGCAAACAGCTATGTAATGGTGCAGGTGTAGTATTCCGAATACACTAACTCGAATATCCGAACTCCCATTATTTGAATAATATTCGAGCGTTCTACTATCCGAACGTTCTGTTATCTGAATAGACTATTTCCCAGAAACAGACGCCTTCTCCTATTGCAAATACGTAATACTCACATACAATGTATACTTTCTTCTGATCGATCGAACTCTACACAGATAATTATGTTGACAAATTTCACGAACCTAGTAGCTACAAAGACATGGAATCCATAAATATTTAAAAAAGCTGTCAATTTTCTGGATCTCCATTTAAATAAATTAAGTATAAAATGAGGAAAGTGCTTCTCTATTATCCCAAAATTCCTTTATCCAAACATTAATTCCTCTCTATTAGTTCGGATACGAGAGGTTCTACTATAATTCAAATCCACTTATCCGTAGCTTTTGGAAAGTCGCAACACTTTCGAGTACACCAACACTATAACAAGTATATACCGTTTCCCTAAGAAATTAAAATTACCAAAAGATTGTTAATAAAAAATATAAACACTCGTTGGTCGTACTGAGAGTATAATAATTACTAAACTGTGTGTGACAGTCTTAGAGCACGGCTTTAGTGACTTGCGACCTCACACAGGAAATAAATTAATCGAAGTGAACTGTATGAATATTTGCAAGAATGCAGACGAGTTTACGAAAACGAGTTGACTGGTTGTTGGCTCGAATCGTACTACTTCACGTAAGAGATTGTAGTGTTTTTGACTATGTAGATAGAGAACTAGTTATACTGAAAGTACGAGTAGGTAAGCTAAGTAAGTTGGGAGTGTTTGTGTCCTTTTGTGGCGTACGTCTTTTGTGGAATATGGTAGACAGGTCAGTTTAGGTTGGATGCAGGTATAATGATTTACCAAAAATTTCCGAACATTCTACGATTATAAAAATGCCTAATAATATTTCAGTTTATAATATCTGTCATTCACTCGTTTGGGAATCCTAATTTGCAATTTTGTCGGAACGTATAATTCAACTCCCGCGCCCGTCTTTAGCAGTTTTGTAATACGTATGACGTCATGTCGATTTTCTATTCTTTTTTAACCCTCAAATACCACACTAGTGCCAACTAGCATCAGCAAAACATTATTTTGTCTGTAGCATTCTTTCTGGCTAATATAATATTTCAGATTTCCTTAGTTAAAAGTTGTTTCACACTTTTGCAATTATTACCATTGAATTTCTCAGAAAATTTTACCCTAAAAACTATGTTTGCGTTCAATTTGCTTTTATTCTTTTCATCAAAAATTCAACAGTCCAATTCGCACTAGTGTGGTGTTTATACACGCTAAAGTGGGGTGTGGATTCTAAGGGTTAATAAACAATAAAATTACTAAAATTGCCTCTTCTTCGTCTTACTGGTATGAAATTTAAAATTTAGCTATTATAATTAACTATTAATTCTAGAGTTTGTGTAATACGTGTTAGAAGTGTATCCACGAACTTCCCTGGAGCGTACTCTAGTTTTAATAAATTTGCTGATAATAAACCAATTTCTGAATCTATGAATTTTATTCACCGTCAATAGAGACAATTGTTTAATCCATGTGAGATTTGATACAATATCTTGTTACGTTGTATCCGATAGGTAGCACGTATTGTATAACGTTAAAGCGAGAGACTTCAGGTTAGCGGCGTCGGTGTGACGAAATAGGAAAATATCGATCAAAATTAATAACTCGTTTTTCTTCACGTATAAACTTATCCTTTTTTTTTTAATGCACGTATATACCCGTATTCTAGTTATCTTTACAATTAATTTTGTAATAATGAACCTTATTACAATTTTTTATGGATACTTAGCATGGTTTTATTTTCAATCATTATAAATCGGTTTTATATATGTATATTGGAATAATTTGTGGTTAAATACACACATTGGGACTATTTTATAAGTATACAAATGAAAAGTTATTATAAATATTTACTAATTTTATTGTGCGCTAACATAAAATATTGTTGTTTTTATGTTGTTTTTGAATAAAACAGTATCTAGAAAAAGGATTAAAAGCCAATCATGGTTTGCAGCTTTATATTTTTGCAATTTCCTGCAAGATTTTTCCCATCTTCTATTTAAATCTAAGTGAATACATGCAGCAAGTTTGGAAACAGATTCTTTACAGTCATCCTTCAATAAAAACTTTGTACAAATGTGATTTATCAAAACATTAACTTTTACGGACTTGTGCACGACACGCCAGACTTTAAAACATTCGCTGTACGTGAATGTATCTAATATCACAAAAAAAAACTAATTTGTGAAAATTTGCGCAAAAAAAGAATAATATAGAATTAAAGTATACATAATTTAAAGTCATTATATAAAAACATTTTGGAAATACATTTTTTGACATATTTAATGAAAACCTTAATCAAATATCCATTACGAAATATACCCGTATCTTCTTTAATTAAGGCACTATCCATAATCAACTTACCCATTTTATTCTTATAATACTGTTGATTAATATTATAAACAAAATCTTTAATTACAAATGAACTAGAATATATAAAACAGGAAAATGTATATGAAATTATTTTCGACTATGTTTTCCGTCTCCATGTTTTTTAATATGTTCATAGCGGACAGAAATGTGGCCAACAATTTTTCATAGAAAAAAGTTCCCTAAAAAACATTTTTTTTTTTATTTTGAACGGGGTTCGTTACACTGTGCGCGTCGTTTTAATAACGGCGGCCAACATAGACAAAGTAGAGTCGTGGTACGACCGTAGAACGAGAAAGACGTGTCAAAGTTGAGTACTTCACCTCTTTAAATAAATAATTCTCCTTTTTGTATGCATTGGCCTTTATTTATTGGAGATCAAGTCGCGCCCACGCACACACATATTTTATTGGATCGAAATAAAGATAAGCGGTGATCGTAAATACATATAGGTATCTATCTGAAACAGGTGGTTGACAAGCTACTTCTGTATCGAACTGGATACCCTCGTCCCACGCACGAGTAATTCGCGTTGCTAGGGCAACATCGTTCATCGTTTCCTTTTTTTCGAACCTCCTATGCCGTAATTGAAGACAATGACGCTATTACGTAGCCAATGCCACCATAATTATATGGCTCAAGGTCCCAAATATTAATTAATCCTTGTCTTCAGACGACTCGTCTCACAGATGAGTAATCCGACAACGGTCACTTTGTAACATTTTTATTAACCAGCTGAATGTCATATTTCATTATCGTTTCGGAAATAGTGTGCCACTTACTGTCAATTGAAGATACTCAAACGCTTAGAGCTTCCAAAACTCTCCACTAGGTGGTGACAGTCAAAGAAAAATTCCAACCATTCTCTGGGACGAGTGGTCTATAGTTAAGGGTTGAAAGTAGGACTTGATGAATAGGAATGCAATGGTTAAGTGTGACTAACAAGGGAAGTTCGGTTACTCGAAAATTACGACTTTTGTGAAACATTGTAGGTCTGTAGGGGACTCGATAGAAGTACCAGGCAATTTTTTTTCTACTTTTTGGCTTTCCAGAATGAAAGCACCCTTTAACCCTCCGAGTACTGGATCCGGAGAGCGTCCGAAGCCGGATCATTTCTGACTCACATCGATAGGTTACTAACACAAACTCGCGGTGGCTCGAGCTCGAGGCACTTACCGACACTGTAGAAGTTTTGTCGACTAGAAGGAAGGACAGCGAGTAAAAAAGGAAATAGAGTGAGCCGAAGACGTAAGTCAATACTTCTGCGGCGTCTTAGCCGGCCGTTTTCATACAATGTCGCACGTCGTCAGTTTCCGAATTACACGGCAACTGTATACGTCTTGCTCTCGCGAGCGCGTGACTCCGACCCAGTCTACGGAGGGTTAAAGGTTTTAATGCGCCTCTGTATTTTCCTATATGTACACTTACTGACAAAAGTTAAGAAACAAAATGGTCGTTTGGGAATTACTGAATATTTTGAATCTCCTGAGATACAACTCTTTTAAAATTGGTCCAAATGACTTGAGTTTTTTTGTGAAGTTAGAGACATTAATTTACTAAATGATGTGAAAAAAAACTTTGAAAAAGTTGCAATTGATCCGAATCGCGAAGAAAATATTAAAGGTCGTGTTTTACAACTTTTTAATCTGAAGCTATAATGAAAATTTAATAAATACTTATCGAAGATTTATGTTAGTTATGTACATACTGACACTTTCATTGAAATCGGTTAAT